CACTTAAAAATTAACAAAAATATCATATTATGCACGTTATCACCCAAAGATTACTATGTTATATTCATTCTGCAATATGCCGGTCATCATCCAAAAGACGCGTGTGTGTAAACCATGTCCTTGAAGTAGGGAGCAACACTTGCATTAACAAAATTCTCAAAACGCATATCTTTATTTTGCTGAATTTTGAGGACAGTTTAGAAAATTAAAGTCAAGCAAATTGTCGAAAGCTTTCGTTAAGCAATCTCAATTGCTAAGCTACCGTTAATGTTAATTTTGCACAAATCATTGCCGAGGTTCGGAGGATACCGTCTTCTTCTTTAAATGGCTCCCTGCGGAGGTAAACAGAACTGCAGTCTGCTCACTCTGATAAGCAATTTATAAACAAACTGGAAAACATTCACAGTCGATACAAGACAATCTAAGATCACAATTTACATCTGGCTGAATGACTCTCAGATGTATTTAAGGATTGTGTCCGTACTACTTTTAATGTCGCGTCATACACAGGTTGTAGGATGATTCATGTGTTCTTTGCCCTTAAGTAAAGTTGTGTCGCCAACCCCTTACCACAATTCCTTGATCCATCAGCATGACTGCTACAACACTGTTCAGTGAACCCGAATTCAAGGCGACACCTACCGTTGATGAAACTCAAATAATTGTTGAGGAGATTGGGAACATACCACTGTCCTGTTATTTGCTCCTAAACTTTTATGTATTAAGCATAGCAAATATAACCTGTTTTACATTTTACAAAAACATAAGGTTATGATTCGGGTTGCAACAGAAACCTGCATATAACAGAAAAGTTATAGTTTAAGGACCATCACCTACGGCGCAAGGTGGTACAGTCCGAGAAAACCAGTCGTCTGCTCATTCGGAAGTAAAACGGTAGAAAGGTCACCGCATATTTGTCTTCGTGTTAGTTACGGACAGAGCCATACCTGTCCAATATGCTGATGTAGGAGAAGGGACCATACCTTGTTGAATAGGAAAATATATCTGTATGCGAAAATGTCCGACATATTTAAGACAGTTTTCTGGTTTTGAGGCCAAGGTCCTCGAGATGCATCCAGAGGTTTGGGTTCAGAGTAAATAGTATGTCCAGGCAGGTAGAATGTAATTGTTACTAAATGTGGACTTATTTGTTACTTGTTTCCTTGTTACGTATCAAGACACAGGTAACGTTGACAATACCCCCATTGTGTCCTATGAATGCAAATGAGCTCTGGAAAGTCCCCTGACTTCTATTTTTGTTTACGGATGAAGTCATACGGATTAATGGGCATGTGCGATGGGGAGGAAATACCCTTTATGCGTGAATAATGTGGAGTGGATGGAACCATTTTTAAAACTCAGCGTCACATAGGACTTAAGAGATTTACACATATTTGATACCATTTTGGTTTGTATTAACCCAATTAAAAAGTAACAAAATATTTTATCGTCCGCGTTATCACAATGATTACTATGTTATATCCATTCTGCGTCATGTTGGCCATCATAAAAAAGTGTGTAAACCATGTCCTTGAAGTAGGCAGGAACGCTTACATTTACAAAACTCTCAGAACGGATGTCGTTATATTGCTGAATTTTGAGGACAGTTTAGAAAATTAAAGTCAAGCAAATTGTATAGAAAGTTTTCGTTTAGCAATCACAATTACTGGGCTAACATTAATGTTAAAGGTGCGCAAATTATTGCCGAGGTTCGGAGGATACCATCTTCTTCTATAAATGACCCCCTGCGGAGATGAACAGAACTGCAGTCTGCTCACTCTGACAAACAATTCATAAACAAACTGGAAAACATTCACAGTTGATACCAGACCATCCAATATCACGATTTACACCTGGCTGAATGACTCTAAGATGGATTTAAGGGTTGTGTCCGTACTACTTTTAATATATGTATCTGTATAGGCGGTATAATCGCCTTTCGGCGTAACACACCAGCTTCACAGGCACGCGGCGCGTCGGCAGCTGGCTATATCACACCGTTCGACTTGTTACACCTAACCCTTGAACTTCTAGCTCTAGACTTTGTTTAAAGCTATCTAATAACAATGCCCCTACTGTACTTGGTGACAGTGAGTTCCACTCTGCAATAGTTCTAGGAAAGAATGAATTCTTGAACACCTCAATCCTTGGTTAATAATTCTGGTTCTTGAAGGCATGGCTATTTCTTGTTCTCTTCTGGGCTGCAGCTGGTATTAGGTACTTAGTAGTTTGGACATCCACCAGTTTATTAGTCATTTTGTACATCATGCATAGTCTGGACATCTTTCTTCTGCCTTCCAGTGAGACCCACTGTAGGTTTCCTTTTATTTCCGTAACACTAGCACCTCTTTCATAGTTGTTCATACAGAATCTCGCAGCTTGATTCTGTACCCTTTTCAATTTGTCTGTGTCTTTCTTTGTATATGGATCCCATACTGTCGCGGCATATTCTAGGTTCGGTCTTACAAGTGACGTGTATGCAAGTGATTTTACTCTAGTTGGGCAAGCCCACAGATTACGTTTAATCACTCCCAATGTCTGTTTCGTCTTAGTTGTGATATCATTAACATGTGCACATCACTTCAGACCGCTTGTAAGCGTGACGCCCAGATACGGATGGTTTTTTGTGGTTGCTAAAGCCTGACCACAAAACTGGTAGCTAGTTGCATGTGGTGTTCGTTTGTTTCAAATTGTTATTTGCATAATGTAGCATTTTTCGGGATTAAACTGCATAAGCCATTTGCTTCGCCATTCTTCCAGGGTGTTCAGGTCTTTTTGGAGAAGTTGTGAGTCGTTCTGTGTCGTTCAGTTCAATATCGCGTCATACCCAGGTTGTAGGATGATTCATGTGTTTTTTTACCTCAAGTAAAGTTGTTTTGCCAACCCCTTAGCTTCCGTTACCCACAATTCCTTGGTCTATAATAATGACTACTACTACAGTGTTTTTTTGACACTAACAAAAACTAAAAGTGTTAAATTAACAAAAGTTATTTTTCCACATATTTTGACACAGGGACCATTGTCTCTAAGCATTGGTGTCACATCACCCTTATCTATTTCTAAACAAATTTGAAAACAATGAAGTTTTCCCTACCTTGTCAGATTTTGATGTGAGTAATTTTGATTACTATTAATTAAAAGAAATAGCAATCTCTTTCTATTATGCTAAACGTTCGGATCTGTCACTAAGATTTGTATAACTTCCTCGCTATTCTCATGTAAAACGCCGTTTTGATCGTGAGCCAAATCCTGTGACAAGGCTGCTGACAAAAACCATTTTAATTTATCTGCCTCAGTAGAGACTTAGACAACTCAAATGGAGCAGTTCAGGGTGGAGTTCATCGACCTCAGATACTGAAAATTTGGCGCAAATGATTCATGAGCATTATAGATCGCTATATATACGTCTAGTGACATGCGATACACTACTACACATTTGGTTTACTTGAACACATAATAAAATAATTTTAATTTGTAAGTTTATAATTGCTCTTTTTTAAACGAAATACATTTACATTTTTTAGCTTCAGTAAAGAGTTAGACAACTCAAATTGAGCAGTTCAGACAGAATGAAGTTCATCGACCTCAAAGTTGGCGCAAATGATTCCTGAGACTTAGAGAAAGCTGTATACATGCATGTATAAGTCTATTGATGTGCGCTACACTGCTAGACATGTGGTGTGAACATTGAAAACATTGCAAAATAATTTGGTGCTTATTATTTAGCCTACAGTGCCTCAATTTTACTTGAAGTATTAAAAAAAGGGTGTGGTTTACAATTTGCACTTCAAAGACTCGGAAAAAATTGCAACCCTTTCTATGATTAGCTAATACTGGCAAGAGCAGCGGTGGTCGAACGAAATTTTCAATTTACATCCATCTAAAAGTATTTAGCTATATAATTTGATCAATTTAATACAATTTTAATTGTTGGTTTGACACATATCTTGCATAGTGTCTATTTTCGTCAAGCATTAGCGTCACAACACCCTTATCTGTTTCCAACCAGATTTTAAAACGCCACATTTTGCCCTCACACACGGGGGGAAGTCATTAAACACAAGCCGATTTGCTCAGCTGACTATCCTGGTTGAGTGATAACTGGTCTCAAACTATATCGGCAGACAGCCAGACTTCCTTGCATCAGCCATGCTTACAGGGGCTACTTACTTTATAAAAATCCAGCCTTTGTAGTAAGTGATGATTTTTTAGTTAAAACTGATACTAGATTAGAAGGCCAGGCAACTCTTTTCATGCCCTTTCTAAAGAAATATGACATTAGGAAGCCCAAGGCAGGACACAGGCAGCGCTTGACAACAAGGTCTAATGACCAAAATCCAACCTTTTTAGCTATAGATCGGTTACTGTTTTTTAGGAGCAAACCTACAGTTAATTTAATTTTGTCCAAGTAATTGTTGAGAGTTTAAAGTTACCACACTACGCTTATAAATATTTTCCTAAGCAGATATAACATATTCTGTCATATTACGGATAAAATAAATCTATTTTTCTTTTACACAGACATATCTTCAATCTATTCCTGCCTGATGAAAATCTTAAGAATTTACACAATGGATACCCAATAACCCCTTTATTACCATTAAAACATAAGAAAGTATGTTCTACCAATTGCTCTTAACTAAAACATCATTAGCTCGTGAAATTGACCCCAAGAACTTGTATCTCAATCCATTTAGCTTGAAATATATATTGCAACAAATCGCGTACTTGCATTTTGCACAAATCAAGTGTCAAAAGAGGAGCATCACTAATTCTAAAGCATTTAACAGTATTGTTTTTTTACCGGCGCCATAATACAAGATAATGTCTTATTGCATTCAGTACATACACTGCAGCACAATATACCTTAAATATAACAATGTATTGTTCGAAATAACGTAATTAACACAAATAAAATGCATATAAATGATTGCTTGATAGTGTCGCAATAGATAACTAAAAATAGGTAAAATATTACACCTTAACACAGCCTGTTTGTTATTTTATTAACAAGATTTATAGCTTGACGCTATCACCTATAAATGTGAGGAACAAAATCTTTTAGCTTCAACTTTTTTTCTAAATAACAATTAACACCCGAGAAAAAAAGGTCGATGTTTTCTAATCATAGATATTGTTCAGACATATGGGCTTTTGTCAAAATTGAGTTGTCAGGTGAAGTAACGAACACGATCGATTCGTGTCCCTTGTTGATACATTTAATTATCTTTTTTTTTATTTTTTTACAACATTTTGTCTGGATTGGATACTTTTGAAAATTTCGTCAAGAAAAAGGCTGAGCCTACACTTTCTCATACTTTGTTCAAATTTAGATTATTTCGCCAATTAGGAGTTGTATGGCCAGAGCGGATAAATACTTTAGAAAGTGAGGTCAAAACTTCGTTTACTGTTGAGTCTTGTCAGCTTTTTTGGACTTTTAGCTTGTCAACCTAATTAAAGACGAATTCCCTTGTATATTTAGGATGCAAACATTTATGACTTCATGCATATGGCGCAGACGAGTTTGAAGAATTGAAAATGTGTTGAAGTACTTTTATAAGGCCTTGTTTCATTGCATTAAACTATGACGTTCAAAGTTCGAACTCTTTAATGGTGTCTGCCCACTATAGGGGGTGATGACGTCGCATTAATAGTTGTTTATTGAGGACATTTGTCTGGAACTGCAGTTAACGTCCTCTGAATAACCAGCCACCTCCTACGAAATAGGATAGAAAATAATTTATTAATTCATTTTATCAATTATGGTTTTAGCAAAGTTATTCATTCTAAAAGAAAGTCTGTAATACAATATATTGAAGTATGAAGCAATAGAGAAAGTCATTGAAGTAGACCGGTTTGTCTTTTATTTATTCTTTTGAACTTTGTCACAAGGACAGGGCAGGGGGAACTTTAAGTATGAGAACTCGAATTTTAACCTCTAATTTGACAAGAATAAGAATAACTTTTTTTTTATCAGGGTAGCCGCCGAGAGCTATTTCGAGAACTAGTTAAAAGTGGCTTTGGATTCTGTTAGGTTGTTTTTGGTGTCAATATTACATTATTCACAAAGTCTAAAGCTTCAACGTTAAAGACTATCTTGCTTTTTTATTACATTCACTTGATGTGCCTGATTGAAGTTGCATGCACTGGACATGCATTTATTTACAAACTGCAAAGTAAGGTAAAATAAAGTAAACAGAAAACAAACAAGCAAGCGCACAATAACTAAGCAGATGCGAGAGGCTTATACATTGTTGTTTGTTGAATGTAAAACATAATTTTGAAAGCTACAATATGCAAGCTAATAGAGCCCCTGTAGTGTTGGTTTCAAATCCTTAATATTACACCGTTGTTTACGTACCTTATGAACAAACCAGGGTGATTCCAGACCAGTATCCATAGTAACACATCTTAGTGGTGCTACCGTACCCAGAACGGCAGTGGTAGTAACACCTCTCCCCATGGGTGTAGGGGTAAGAGCAGCCGGTTACGTAGGTGTTGGCCAGGGTTGGTGGAGCTGGGCATCTCAAACCTGATCCTGATATAGTGGACCATTAAACATATTAAAACATTAAACTTTATTCCAACACACCATTTACAGAGATCAAATTTTCAGCGGCCACTGTCGCCTTCTTTAGGATAATTAATGACCAATCACTTCACAACATTAAACATATTATTATCACAAATTTTGGGAAAGTGGAGCATTACGTCTTCCGTGGTTCAAAAAAGAGAAGTCAAACCCTCAGACAAAATTCAGACATAGCTATAGTTTTAGACAACTACATACTATGTACTAGGTGTTCCAAAATTCAGACATAGCTATAGTTTTAGACAACTACATACTATGTACTAGGTGTACCTTTCCCAATTGGTGTAGGGTATGATAGGGTTACCAACGTAAAACCCCTCCAAACAAAATGTTACCAAATTGAACGATTTTATTCATGATTGGTTTAAGTCTTTCACTTTCTTTGCGAAACTCTGTGTATTTTTTTGTCGAAACGTGATTAATCACTGATTTTAGGAAATGATCATGAGAAAAACTAGTTTAAGGGTCCCTAAACGTGACAAAGATACGGCATGTAGTACTTAAATCACTGAAAAAATATATATAGTGCTCACCTCTCCTACAGTCCAGGTTGGTCCCAGTCCAGCGCCCATTACTGCAGGTCTTAACTGTACCGCCGGAGACTGGGGTGTACCCAGGACGGCACCGGTAGTAACACCTCTCCCCATTGGTGTAGGGGGAGTAACAGCCGCTCCTGAAGGTGTTGACTACGGTTGGTGGCGAAGAGCAGCCCAAATCTGACATTAAAACAAACAAAAGTGTGGAAGATTAGTCAGGTATACGATCTCCTACAAACATGGTGGTCGGGACGTTTATAGTAAAAATAGCATACAGGGGTACCATAGGGATGCAAACGTAAACCCCTTAACGTAACAAAATGTTACCAAATTAATGATTTTTCTTGTGATTAGTGTTAGTCTTTCACGTATTTTGCTGAACTTTGTGTAATTTGTTTTTCGAAACTTTCCTTTCGAAATTATTCGCCTATTTCAGAAAAATGTAATGAGAAAAAATCTGAGTTCAAGTGGCCCTAAACATTAAAAAGATACGACATGTAGTACACTGAAAATGGAAATTGTAAGGTGCTCACCTCTCCTACAGACCAGGTTGTACCCAGTCCAGCCTCCATTACTGCAGGTCCTAACGGTGCTGCCGGAGACTTGAGTGTACCCAGAGTTGCACCGGTAGAAACAACTCTCCCAATTGGTGTAGGGGTAGGAACAGCCGGTCCTGGTGGTGTAGGCCAGGGTTGGTGGTGTAGAGCAGGTGGAAGCTAACATGAGAACAAACATAATTTAATCTATTAAACCATCTGCCTGCTTCAAAGCTCGTTGTATTTTCAACTAGAGGTCGGAGATCTCATGTCTTCGTCAGAGGTACATTGCTCTACAGAAATGAACATGTTTATTCTTTACGTTTTAATAACCAATGTAGTCTAAAGTAAAAGAATCTCTGTACTCCATTTTTTATGCTACGGACACCCTGAAAGGGTTTGCCAGATTTTACAGGCGCACAGGTCTCCAGTGGACGTCATCCATAACAATTACTTCGTGTGGCCGGATGAAATAACCTGACGCATGTCCAACCTTTCCTCCACCAGCTGAAGTTATAATGAACAATCCCTCATTAAACGTTATTTGATCCCATCCCATTATGGGGTTCCCAATGCAGCTGTCTCCAAGCAGACGTTGGTCATTATTTTTAAACACAAAAGGTGCGCTGCAGTGACGTAGGGACCCCCACGAAGACATTTACAAACTTAAAATTGGTCTCAACAATAGTAACCTGTCCACCAAAAATGATAAATATCAATTTACATATACAAAAGTCATTTTGCTCACAAGCCACAAACACAAAAGGTGCACTAACATGCCGTACAACCCCCCCACAAAGCCCAGAATTTGCACTCAACATTGGCAACAACGGTAATCTGCCTGCCAAAAATCATGGATGTCGAATTATGCCTTCCATGGTTATTCCGCTAAATCCGCAGTCACCCACAATGCGGCGAGACAATTCCATAGTCTTTCTGAATAAGACAACAAGTTTACACTAGTGTTCCCTGGCCGGCCTGATCCCCAAATGTGTCTACGAAAGCGCCTATACTTTGCAAGGGCGCATCGAGCGCCAGGCGCCAAAGCGCAAGCAATAAAACGGGTCCGGGAATATGCACCCCCGAGAAATTTGGATTTTTTAAACCTTCCATAACGCATTATCCTACATATTGCGACGCAAAGAAATGCCGACCTCTTGACGTTTCACTGTTAGTACACAAGGCATACTACTGGAAAACGCAACTTAAGAAAAGGGGAAAACACATACCCTATAGTTGAGGTCTCCACACCGAGAAATCCAAGGAAACTCCACCATTAAAGAAATACTGTTGAGACCTGTAACCTATATAGCTATAGCATGTAACCTATCATAGATAGCACACACAACACTCATATATAGCACACATATCCTATGAAACGAGGCTTACTGCCTATATCCAACCAATAGAAGAAAAAAGGGACAGAAAACTGAATACCAAATAGCATGGACAGCTATAGCTGACAGCTGTTCTGGCCATAAGGTCGATGACCTACATAAAAGACAGAGCACAACCAATACAGCTGTCCTACTCTAATTGGCCAAAAGGTTGTTGACCTACATACAAAACAACACCAGAACAACAAAAAAAACAAGAACAAGATAACTTCTTTTCCACATTCCTATAAAACAAAAGAGTTCAAACTTACACCACAAAATCTATATTACAATACCTTTACACCATACAAAAATCTAGACTCATGCCACATCGGTACTTGAACTACAAACAAACAAAGAAACAAACACAAAAGATCTATTACGGGGACATAACGACCTCCACGACTCTCATCTTTAAACTCAATCTTGGAGACCACCACAGTAATATGCCTATCAAATTTCATTAACTTCCATCCACACATACAAAAGTTATCCTGCTCACAAGAAAAATTAACAAAATGCCCCCTGTAGTCACAACGAAACCCCCCACGAAGCTCAGTAACGAACTTAACCATGGTCCCGATAATAGTAACCACCACACCAAGAATCATAATCAACATTTTATAATTACTTAAGTTATTTTGCTAACAAGCCACAAACACAAAATGTGCACCTACGTGACGCAAGGACCCTCCACGAAGCCGAAAATTGTACTTGACCTCGGCCTCAACAAAGGTAATCTGCCTGCCAAAAATCATGGACGTCGAATCATGCCTTCCAGAGTTATATCGCAAAATCCGCAGTTCCCCACACTCCGGCGAGACAATTTCATAGTCCTTCTGACGAAGACAATGATGAACCAAGCTACTTTAATTTCACATAGGGGTCTAGTTGTGTTTACGAATTAATTTATTATCAAGAATGCAAGATGGTGAACCAAATTTATAAAGTAGGGACTCCAAATGAAATTACGTCAAACCGCATCAGCAGAAGACTTTGTAGATGTCAATATTCTGTTATTTGAGTTTTGTTGTATTTCTTTCCAGTTTGCGAAAGATATTCTGTCTAGACAGTTCTACTGTATATAATTAATGTACCTCATGATTAAAGTAAATGACGTTATAATGTCACTAAAGCTATTTAGTAAGTGCATTTTAATCCGCAATTCTTATCTGAACTAGGGTATTCTACTATAATATACTTCCCTACTTTTACATGGTCAAAATCGTGTTCTGTTAATGGCCATGTTCCCACTAAGGTATAACTATGATATAACAATAAAAGTAGGGTGCGCACCCCTGCAGACCAGGTTGTACCCAGTCCAGCGTCCATTAGAGCAGGTCCTAGTGGTGCTGCCGGAGACTTGAGTGTACCCAGAGTAACATCGGTAGTAACACCTCTCCCCATGGGCGTATGGAGAGGAACAGCCGCTCCTATATGTGTAGGCCAGGCTTGGTGCTGTAGAGCATCCCACTACAAAACGACATCCAAAACATTGTAACCATAATTTAGACATCCAAAAAGGGCCTTACTTTCAAGACATATTTATTACAAAAATAAGCTTTTATTTTATTTATAGCTCCCTCCCGATCCAAGTTTAAAGTTTAAGTTATCTATCCGAGAATTTTTAGCTGTTTTCTTTATAGAATTAACCCTACCGAGACCGGGGGGGGGG